TTTTCAAACTTATACATTAAACTTAAAGTTTAATGTATGTCCTTATAGGACGAAACTGCAGTAACGTTAGTTACAAATAAAAGTGCTAAAAAAATGTAGAAAGTTCCAATTCTCTTTTCTTCATTATAATAAAAACAATTAAAAATGAAATTGTCAAGAGTTTGGAAGGCCTCAAATACACTGGCTCATACCGAGAGTAAACTGGTTGAGGGTCGTCCCGTAACTTCTTTGTCTCTCCTGCTAGGTATGAATGTAGAATTTTTGTGGTTCAAATAGTATCACAAGAAGCACTGATTTTAGATCAAGGAAGCAAATCAAATATTTTTCATTGATCATAGCCACTTGGATGATTTAAAAAAAGTATGTGCTGCAGTATTTTCTCACCAAAATTGGATATTTGTATGTGACTGCTAAATGTGAGAAAGTTTAAATCCACTGGGTGTTTCATTTGGAATTTCAGAGTTGGTTTGATTTTTCGTAGAATTGAAAATGCCAAAAAAATATTTTTGATCCAATAAGTCCAAATTGTGATACCATTTGAGCCACCAAAACTCCACGTGTATACCAGGAGAAACAAAAGTTATAGAGGCGAGTCTGAATTGGTTTATACCCTGTATGTTTGAAATATACATGGTATATTTTAACAAAATTGAGTTGGTGTATTGACAAAATTCCAAATATAACAATCTAGGACCCAAATAAACTTTTTGTTATATATTTTGTTATGTTTCCACTTTGATTTTTCTCTGAGTTATAAAAATATAAATATTGGGGCATAGTTTTATAAGTCATCTGTGAAAAATATTCCATCCGATAAAGTAAATCTTTGACAGAATATTTTTCTTGATTGTCAGACACTTTTTTACAATTTTACAAAAAAATATTGGATTATTCAGAATTGAGGTCAAATCAATCAAATATTTACTTTTCTTAATTCTTTTAAAATATTTGTCATGTAAGCATTATCTTGCATCACATTCCTCTCATTGATGATCTGATACATCTTCAAAAACTCACACCCTTTTGTGGGTTGGGTGACTTTTTGCAAATATTTTGTGGAGGAACAAGACCTTCTACTTATGTTATTTCCCACCTTTATGAAGTAAGTAGTTGGCGCTTTATAAAAATGTGTTTTGCATTCATCAACTACATAGGAACTTTTCTTGCAAATCAATTCAATTTGGATAAAAAAAACATTACTTCAACTTTATGATAATATGGTGTGTTGCCATATTTTCGAATTCTCCTAATACAAATGTTTTAAGATTGAGTAGGTATGTTTATCAGTGTAAAATGCTTGAGTGAATTTAAACTGCCTTAATATTCAGCAATGAGAGTTAATACCCTTTTTTAGATTTTTGATATATTTCATGTGCTTTGTGCTAGATATTATTAATATTTTCTTTTTTTGAAGGTGTGTTTTATTTGGACTAATTTCAAAGTAATTGACCCCTAAAACTTTTCTGAAATAGAAATAACTTCCAAATTACCTACATTCAGTGGCGAACACATAGGATCATATGTCACAAAGTAGTGAATAGTAGCTTGCTTCAGGTATGTCTCCGGAATGTCCCAGTTATATAAATGAAATGAACAAATATTCCAAATGAAATTTTATATTTATGCTTATACAGAGAAAAAATATGGTTTAATTATCTAATAATATTGCATTACAGCACATTAACAGTATATTCCTCATTTTGTAACGATATTTGGAACCGTGACATAGCTTTGCGGATCTCTAATAATTTAAAAAAAACACTGGTTGACAGTTGACATTATTTCACCTTAATAGCAGTGGTCCACTCTGTTCATGTCATTATATTGATGGCAGAATATTTCGAAACACCAAATTCGTTATCAAAAATTAGCTTTCGAGCTTCATTCTTGTGTAAATAAAATTATTTATCATATTGAATGCAATTAATAGAAAGAACTTCTTGTTTTAAGTCACGCTTATTACTTTTGCATTGAATAAGATACACTTACTCAAAACTATTGTGATTAGGCATCATTGCTTTCGGTGACCTTCAAATGGACAAGTGGGAATTCAAGATTTGAACGAATTTGTACCTTGCAATTCCTCTGTATGCCAACAAATGTTTGTGGCTAATATTATTAAAGATATAGAATGTTAGAATATTTTGTATTTTTGTAATTCTATTCACAAGCAGAGTTGGACAGAATTATGAATGAGTTCACTCCATTTTCAGTGAATTGAAAATTCACGTGATTTTTTTTAATGAATGATGAGTTGCCATCTCTTTATAGGTGAATTGTTAATTGTTTTTCGAAAATCAAATTCACAGTTTTTTTCAATTTAAAAAATTTATTTGTTCTCACTTCTCGGACCTCTTTTTTGTCGTGTTAAGGGCACTTGAGTAACCCTAAATATTTCAATGCAAAAACCATAATCAGAGCGTACTGTATATTAAAAAAGACACAACTAATTTCAAAATAATGTTGAAATGTGACCTTATTAATTTATATTTTTCCGCTCTGGTGTCTTCATCATACAAAATAGGACAAATGAGTTTTCAATCATATTTTAAAAAGGTTACAAAATTCGTTTGTTTAAGACCTGTACAATTCAATTTTGTCACTCTGTATAATGAGAGTCAGTATATCTGACTGACAATATATCTACCCTATGTAAAGTCGTTACTTTTTGATTGTTTCCGTTGTCAAATAGTGACGAAAAAACACTCGAATAGAACTTTGAATTTCTGCAATAAAAAAATATCGACCGGACAATGATTTAATGGAAGTTATGTACCTGTATCACAGTAGAATAATACAACTTTTAATGTTCCTATATCTTCAGGCGATTTAAGGTTATGATTTCTGTGGGGAATCCCTAGTAACAAACAACAAAATATCAATGAAAAAACTTTAAACCAGAAAGAATTTGAAAGATACAACGTAAGTGGAAAAAATAGCGATTCTCATTGTGTCAATGTTTTATATTTTTCAAAAAATATTCCAAAAAAAGATTTATTTCATAAAATTTCGAAAAAAGTTATTAGAAAAACTTACAAAATGTAAGTTCCAGCTTATATAGATCAAAAACGGTCTCATTTTCTATAAATTGCATTTCTGCTATTGTTGCAAAATGAGACGTCATCGCATAGGTTTGACAATGCCTTGTTCAAGACACATTTTCTTTAAAATAGCTCTATATCAAATGGGTGTTTTTCTACAAAATTCAACTTTGCTACCTATTCTACTCGCAATGCCATCTGTTATGACGATTAAGTAGTCCGGTCTGATACGCAAACTAAATAGGTGGCGCTGATGGTAAAAAAAAATAGAACTAATGGAAGCACCTTGAAAATTATCAAAATGAGCTGTAAATCTACAATAGAAACTACGACAGTGGAGTTAGCTATATATTAGTTAAATTCAACTGCGATGAGGTTCAGACTCTTGAACATATTGAGAATGTCCCATAAGATTCTAAGGGCAGCCCTGAAGACTTTCTACCTGCAACTCCAAAGCATTGTCTAAGGAACTATAAACAATGTCCAAAGTCGATAGCTTATATTAAGGACTTAATTTTTGCAGCCATTTGAGTTTGTTTCATTTATGTCGATGATTTATATCGACAATATCTAGAACTGTCATACGATAAACAAAATTCACAGTTCCAAATTTTCACGGAACATATCCAACTTCAATTGTCAAGAATGACATTTCCAGGTTAAATTTGAATATCCGTTTGGCACTAATAAAGATGCATAGAAAGCCTGGTGTTTAAATCAATTCGCTTTCGTTTTGTCAAAAACTCTCGAAGAGATAAAAGAAATCAACCCAACTGTGTACATATGTTGTTAGGTGGAACAAAAATAGTTTTCATATGTAAACATTGGTGTGCCCTTAGCGCCTCTATACGTAGAATGACGAAATACGTTGGATCTCTTTATTTTATGAATAATCAAGAGTGCCGTAGATCGAGGTTTTCATTAAAATATTTTACATAGGGATGGGTTCGAGTATTCACACCGTGGTATTTCTATGCATCTTGGCACTAACCAACGGATTCATTATGCCTGATATATGAATTACAATACAAAGATATAATAAATGCTCGACTTTAGTTGCCACCGAGAGATGTCACTTATCGGTGTACTTGTAAAGTCAATCCTTCTACCCTTTACCTTTCACTTATTACTTGAATCACTGCCCATAGCAGAGTCAACGAGAGGCTTTTCATCTTCATTGTAGTACTTAACCAACTTCATTAACTCAAAAATTTCATCATTGAGTCCGTTCAACAAAAAACCTACAAACTCTTCCGCATCTTGTTGTCTACCTTAGATTCAGTCCGTCCGCATGTTATTCAACATTTTATAAATCCAGGATGCCAGTGCTGGCGATAACTACTTGGTCATTTTTGGTAGTTTAATCCACTCTCTTATCTTTTGTCCTAATATGAAAAGGTAAGTGATCAAACTGCCTCATAAAAAGATACATTCCAACTATAACTGGGGTAGATTTCTTTCTCTCGTTCGATGACATGTTTTTTCTCAGAGTATTCTATGAGTTGTAGAGTGGTGGACATGCGATTCAATGTTTTTATCAAAGTGGTTGATTCGCGAGAGCTTTCTCTTTCAGTTTTTACCTGAAAGAAACTTTTGTGCATGTTCCATTCATCTTCTTTAGTAATTTGTTTATTTTGAATTTGATTGCTTTCGTCCTTCATTCGAAAGTTCTTTCTCACTTGTTTTTGTTCAAAGATGAAGCATCTGAAAAAAAGCACTCCTTTTATAGTTCAGATTCAAGGCGAAATCGATTTTAACAAAAAAAAACTTTTGGAGTAATTTATTTCCTATTTTACCCAATTTCCTATTCCAAATAATGTTGGTAAGCCCTTGTTCGAAGTAAGTTTGTTCGTTGCTTAGAGACTAGGCACATTTCTAGCAACAAACTGAAGTTTGGAACGTACTACTAGTGAGAGTTGTCATGGTAATCACTTGTCTGACAGCTCCCAGTTTCAGCTGATTGTCATGCCTGTCATCATTAAAACATCCCAAGGACTTGCGCATTGGCTGTTAGCTTAGATGAACTGAGTGCGAGGGGGTAGGGAAAGGGTTTAGAAATGGCCGTCGTGAATAGTGGTCGGAGTGTGATGGATCTGCAATTTAATATTGACAATGGTCCAGTTGACCGTTTAACTAGACTTTATCCAGCTGTAAATGAAGACAAAACTCCTCTTCCCAGAACGTGGAGCCCCAAACACAAATTCAACTTTATTGGATTGTCCCAGAACAATTTGCGTGTGCACTATAAAGGTAAGGAGACCTTTCAAGGTTTGAGTTTAGTTTAAAATGGTCTGTCACGCAGTAATTTTCATGTTTTTACGTCATTCGCACTTTTGGAATGTGTTGTTTGCGATTCGAATTTATTCTGAGAAATGTCATCGACCGTATTCTTTTCAAAGGGGTTCTCTGAAGCAAACAAAGAAATCAGCTGTTTATGTCACTGGGTGAAAACAAGAGAATCACTCCACGACTTTCGATTATGTTCTTTCGTCTTTCTCTTTGTCGGAGAGTTTCTTGGATTCGAGATACTACATATTTACTTTTGTATTTTATGTGATAAAGTAGGCTGCCTTCATGAGGAAATAAACAAAATACGTTTTTACGCATATGGAATAAAATATCCCATTTCACGTGTCATCCAAGTGGACTACATTATTTGTAAACAAAAAAAGATTAGAAAATTAATTCGTTTTTGTAGGGGTTTTAGAGGGAGAACTATTCTTTTATATTTTTGAAAATCGTTCCAACATTGTGTTCATTACATTCCTTAATTATTCAAGGTTAATGTTACTGTTTATAAACTGCCTACACTATCTTTGACTGCCTTCATTTGCATTTGTTCATCGGATGAAAAAAAAAAAAAAATAAAAAATAGTTTCAACCTATAGTTCATGCTCTGAACAAACTTCATGCAATACAGTAATTTTGAATTTCATACTGATAAGGTTTTCTAATTTGGTTTTGTAAAATATGTCGTGATGAATATATTTATGGCAGTGGCTAGTAACACAAATGACGTTATTTCTAGTTAGGCATTCCGGCAGAAGTGAAATTTCAATTTTTTCATTGAAATGATCAATGAAGTTCTTTGGCGAATACTGTGGAAAGGTCGAAAATATCAAAAACCTATTTTTTCAGGAACTCGCATTAGGGAAATACATATCAACTCCAAAAATAGAAACTTTTTAACGATCGCATGCTGTAGAAATGTATTCACTTGACGTATATTTTTGTACATACAAAATGGTAAAACACTCCATTCAGTCACATCCGATCCTCCGGTCCTAGTTGACAACTTGTTCAATACTCCCCCGGACATCAGGGTTATTAGCTTGTATTAGACCGAGGGTGGAAAATGAGTAGTTCCAATGAATTTGGCACTTGGTTATTCCACACAATGTATTCAATATATCTTGGAGCAACACCGTTGTCTCTTCAGTACCAAGGGAGTTGTAATAAAGTTTACAGGCTCTGTAAAGCTGAGTAAAGCTCCAATTACTATGCTCTCATGATCTCGGATCTTACAGTGAAGTGGACCCAAACTCCTGATGTTTACGTTTCGTGCAAGCAACTTGCAATTAGAAGTCTATGTGAACATTTTTATCTTGATAGCTTTGAACTCGAGTTTGAATCCTTAGAAAAGGGAACCAACAAGAAATATTTTTCATTCACTAGTCAAGAAGGTCAAAGTTGTCAACATAACAATATAGTAGGTCAACATATCTAGCCGCTACGTTTTGCTTTATGTAACCAACTTTTTTTATCACTATTGCAAGCAAATTTTCATATTCACGGTTTTCGGAATAGCCTAATAGTCGAGCTGCCATTATATGTGGAATATAACATCCTTCAAATGACCGCTACGGCTTCTCTGGGTGGAGCGCATCCGAAACGTCCAATTTTCTATGGTCGTTTACCTTCAGTTCCGGACAGTTGAATTTTGTACGGGTACTGGCCCAAGTCACGACGCAAAATTCATCAAGTTGTGGTCTGCGAAAGGCCGAGTTCTTGTGAGCGACGCGAAATCGACAGCCTTGGATTCTCCCGTACACTCTCATAGACAGCGGTAAAGTTTTCGGCAGATCTTGCGTTTCGTCGACGTACGGGTGTTGGTCATTCGTTACTCAACCAGTGGACTCAAATTTATCCACCACATTGCGAATAGGCTTCTCGATAGGGCGATTATGGCGACCGCAAAATAGGCGAAACGCGCGGTACGTTGCCCGAACAGAACTCGTCATTTCGATAAAACAATTTTTTATTTGCACGTGTTGTTGAGTTATATATTCGTCCATGGTGATTTGACAAGACATATTGAATAAATAACAACTAATTTGACAGATGGCCGTTATCAATTGTCAAAGTTTGGAAGTCTTTTGTGGAAGACCTTATATATATATATTTTGATTCAGTATTTCGTAACATCTGTCTTAGCGAAGATCATTGTGACCAGAATAGATATTTCAAGTTTTGAAACTAATATACAAGGTGCTTGATAAAATGATATAAATTTCATCCCTGTCCAAACATTGTGTTACATTTTTTTTAGCATGTACTATGCGTACTATTCCCACCCAGAATGAAATATAGTAACTTTTTCTTTACATTCACCAGAATTTTCTATCTGCACTAAGAAACATTATTGTGAAAAATAACTAATAGGTTTTTGATTGATACAGTTAGTGAGAAAATTTGCCAACTCTGCATTTTTTCGAATAATAAAAAACATTTTCAACAGTGTCAAATGACACTATTTAGGGAGCTGAAGAAATATAGAATCGGAGCTAAAGAAACATACATACCTTAGTATGTACTGGGTGTTCCATTAAAAAAATACATATAATTTTGGTTATATGTATTAAATAGGGATATGGAAATATGGATTAAAATATTGGTAACCTTCAGAGCATTGAAGAAACCGATGAGGAAATCGTATTGAGTCTCCTTGTAATCAACCCGTGCTAGGAATCGTACGTTAAAAGGTAAGCCTTCGTAAATCTATAGCTCGCATAAGTTGTAGGGTTTTATAGGTTGTCGTTCGTAGGAGGGCGACAGCTGGGTAACGGAAAACATATTTCAATAGACATATTTTAACAGACAAATAAATCAACACAAAAAATGTCTGTCAAATATAACCTGTCATTGTTGATATAAACAATTTGAAACCATTCCAGAGCTGGACTTGAGACATTATTATTCCGATAATATATAATACAATATGGTGAAATCCCAATTAGTGGTTTATTCAATTGCTTTGTTATTCAATGCGTATTTTGTGAATCTCTAAAACGTTTGTCGAAAACAGCTAACGGGTTATTTTAGTTGAGTGTTTAATGGGAACATGACAAGACACTCATTATAGAGTAACGCCTTTAATTGGCTGATTTGCTTCTTTTCAATTCACGATATTCCCGATGTTGTTGGAATGAAAACACGTAGGAATTATGATAATTAGGATCGACAGATACCAAAATTAGATTGTCTATTTATATGTATGTGTTACGCGCCCGAATAAGCAGAGAATCAAAACCAGAAACATATCAAGAGTGCGTATACCTTTCGTATTAATTAAATGAAACGCACGTGTCCTTCAATCTTTGTTTTCAAATCCTCTGATTATACTTAGTTGATTTCTACGCGGTATTTATATTATCCGGCAACTATGTATAGGCCATAACTTGATTATAAAGCCTAATTTTAATTAAGGCTGAGAACCAACACTTGCAATTTGATCAATTTTTTTTGGAAATTAATACCACAAAACCACAAAACGTTATCGACAAATTTTTATTTGAAAATGTTTAGATCGAGTGGTATTTGTGAAGATTATTCTCAGCTGGATGCGTCGACGTTATGAAAAAGTCAGTTCTCAAATTAAATCAATTTTATTGCCGGAATAACAAGACATTTCAATAAAAACAAACTTGTATTTTTTTAACAATATAATTTCACTGTTAAAATTCATCGTGCCTTGACATGAGACCGCAGAGCCGGCACCCGAGTCTAGATTCATTAACTGTACGTGGCGTATTCTTTTCAATTTCAATGAATTTACTACTATTCAGAATAATGTTTCGATTCGAATTGAAAATGTCGTTGTTTTGTTGTACTAATAAATTTTCAATAAAATATTTGGATTTATGAATATTATATATGAATTGTTGATATTCAAGGTGTAGTTTGAGTTGAAGGATTGTTGATTTCTTGTATCTCTCATATATATTAAGATTAATAATCTCTTCGTTAACAGAAAAATCATTTTGATTATTTGTTTTTCTGGAAAAAAAACTGAAGTAGCCATTTTCTCTGTATCTGTAGAGAAGGGAGGGTGAGTGTTGACCCACAGCACTCAGGCCATATGTGACCCATTGTACATCCTCTCGAGAAGTTTTCCTCATTGGTCATCGTCCATCCTGTCCTTTCCAGGAAAGTGGACAAGTAACTAGGAGACATCTCCTTTATATTGGCAGGTGTAGGCCAAGACTAGCCGAACACACACTCCCTTTGGGCAACCTTGAGGTGTCTCACGGTGGCCTCCGCGAAGGTTTTGGAAGGTGCAGCGACATTACTGTCGTTGCGCGTCTTCTTCAACCTTCTTGGGATTCCCTCCGTGGAGGTACACAAGTGAGGGAGCTTTCCTGCAGGGGCAGCCGGTTCCTTGCCTTTATTCAAGGCCGAGTTCTTGGCGCCCGCCGCAGGAAGTGCCTTTGCTGTTGGGGGTGAGTAGGAGGGTGCACTTATAGTTGCTGCCACTCCTGCATCCTTCGCTCTCCTTCTCCTTTCGGCCTCGGCACCGCAAATGCGCTTACGCCGTGGCCATTACATCAAGAGGTGATCTGCTATGTCCAGCCTCATCCTAAGCGGTAGATTGTGGTGGACATTCCTGTTCATCCCTAGCCACCTCCTTAGATTGAGGTGAGCACTTCTGTCCAGCCTCGGGATTCGTTTTTGTTGTTTCTGTTTGTTTCATTCATGTGTCTTCCCACGAGTAGCAAGGGAAGAGTTGGTCATCTCTGGCAGAGCCCCACATTACCAGAGGTAAGCTGATTACAATGAGGTTTCGCCTAATTCCCCAAGGGGATCGTTCGTAACCGCATATCACCCTGCGGCCATTCAGCTGTCGGCACGATTCCTTACACCTTAGCTTGGGTAGGCTGGTCCACGGAGGCATGTTTTGCAAAGGCTTTTGGGGAGTTTCAGTTCTCCTCACCCTTCTTATTTCTGCCACTGACCAGGAGTCCGGTAACCCC